CTACCTCAGTCAGAAAGAAGTCACTTGGGCTCTTTAATTTAATGTGCACCTGTTCTGGAGAGGATGAAGCTGATTCTGTAAGATTAAAAAAAAAAAAAGAAAAGGGAAAGAAAAGGAAAAAAAAGGAGCCATAAAGATGAGGTCACTGTATAATTTGTTGTCTAAACTGGGACACACTTGTGAGTCTGAAGAGTTACTGTTAATACGGATAAACACAACTGTCCCGCAAACAGAACACACTGTCATCCCAGAGGGACATTGTTCACCTGAGTGGGGTTGACATTCTTCAGTCTCCAAGAAGTCCCTGCAGGAAGCTTGTTTTCTTTAAAGTGCTGTTTCTCGGCACCTCCCCTTCCTGTAGACAAAGTAAGGAGAGAGCAAGGCATATCCTTCTTGATTTATCTCCCCGAACAGGAGAAGAGTGGGAGAGGAAGGTGCAGAAGGGTTCTAGATTTCATTCCAGGCATGTTCGAATGAATGGAGGCTTCTGGTCTCCAGGCAAATAAGTGAATTATTTTTCCCTTCTAGGTTGGTTACAAATTTCTTTTCACTTCAGCTGAAGTATAAGGTTTTCTTTTTATCATTTCTACAAAACCGAGGTGACTTGGGGACGTGTAAAGTTCACATTCTCCCATCAGTGAGTCTATGTATTCAAGATACACACCGCTCTCCCTATTAAACTCACACATTCTACTTCCTGTAGAAACATTGTAAGAAAAGGCTGGCCTTTAAAACAGACATTTTCTGTAGAATTTTCTGTAGAATTCAGTAGAATATTCTGTATGGATTTTTTATTGAAAAAAGTTTCTGTATGTTCCACTCCATAAGCAAAGTGATCTGGCATGCAGGTCGGAAAGTCTCATTTCTCTGATCATTTTATTCATTAGAGCAGGACGTGCTTGGCTCTGTTCTAACATTGACAAGAGCAGACATCTATCCTGGTGGATGCATGACATTTTCTAGGACGATGTTCTTGTAAAGCTCAAAGCATTTTCAAGATGTCACTAGGATGAAGTACAACTTCAACATCATAACTGGTGATCAGTTCAACAAAATGCAGTAGATAACTCTTCATTGCCAGGAAGGAGTATTGGGTGCCTAGTTTCTCTGTCTTCCAAGAAGTATATTAAACTTCCTAAATTTTGCTATTAATGTTTTCTTATAGAACTATTTATCGCAAAGTTCACTTAAAGTGTCATATTTGAATCTCAGTTTTCTCTTGGACAGAGGTATCTACGATGTGTAAAAATGTATCCTCAAGATATAAAAAGATAGAAGTTGTTCCATCTCCTGGGTACTTCTGTATGAATGAAGTCAAGGAGGGGTTGATGACCATGGCCTTATGTGAACCCTGGGGCACACTGTTTGCTGTTAGTTGTAAGGTACTTTGGGGAAAACTTGGCTGGTCCTGGAGCTACACAACATTAACATGTTTTATCAAACTTCGTAGCTTTGGATACAAAGTTTACTCAAAATACTTTCCTTACTAACCCTTATTCTTGAAAAGCCACCCTAGAGAATCTCCCTGTCCCCCACGGATTCAAACTGCGACCCAGTTGTCCACGGCAGAACTAGAGAACATTTAAAACATATGGTGAAAATGAACATAAATTGAAAATTATATTGAGACAATATTCATGAAAAGCTAATCAATGTGAATGGAAGGATGTATTTAAAAAAAAAAACTTTTAAGTAAAACTAAAACTAATTTCCTGCATAACTATTATCAGTACATAGCTATAGTTTGATCTCCATCCACCATTTAAAAGTCAAGGAATTGTTGTTTGTTGGGTATTTTTTGAAGTCAATGTTTTCTTAACATGAGGTAGCTTTCTAGCAGCATTTTTGCATGCTTTTACCCAAACACAGTGTGGCTTGGCATGACACCAGGTTTGGGCACAGGTGGGAGGAAAGGACTAGCTATGTAGGAAAACTGTATCTTGCTACAGCTAGAGATGGTCTTCTAGCTACAGTAATGGGTGGCAGAGAAATATAGCAATTGGAGAATAAGCAGCATATTTACAGGTAAGAGTATAGATATCTAATCTCACTGCTGTACCATTTCCTTGTAAGTAACAGTGGTTGATTTTAATTTTCACTAAGATGTTAAGTCTCCAAACTTAGAAACTCAATCCTAATTTACTAGATGTTCCTAACCTATTGGTTTGGTATTCTGTTATCACTTGGTTGGTTGACTCATTTTAATTTCTTCTATGAAGAGTTTTTTCTAGGAAGCAAGAAGTAAGAAGTAACAACAACAACAAAATAGATGTTGATGCACAAGGTATGATGGGTATCAAACAGGTGCTAATTTCTGATGTCCAAAAATGTGAACACCATGTGAAATAAAACTCTGGTCCCACAGTTGATTTTTAAACATCCCATTTTTTTAAGGTTCCAAACTCATTATAGTCGGAGCTGTTCTACATGACTTATTTGGGAGAAGTAAATCCATATGGCACTGCAGACACACAGATACTTTCTATGAATAGGTTCTAATGGAATTCAAAGTATTCTCTCGATGTTATTAGAATGAAGTAAAATTTCAGCAAAAAGTAAAAGTATAGCTACTCACTTGAATACAATCCATTCTTATGAGGTAAACATACAAATACCTATGTTTCCTTAAGCAAGTAATGAGATGATGTTCCAGTAGTAATTTTCTTGACACTTGGCTATTTTTGTATATTTAAGCTTCTGTTCTTAACCTTAAAAAAAGACCTCATGATTTTATCAGGATACTGATTTTTCTCATGAAAGGATTCCTGTGGTTAACTAATTATTCATTTTAATTAAATTTAAAACTCCTCTGGATGAAACCTTCTATTTTGCATTGACAGGACATGAAGAGGGACTCTTTTCTATTTCCAGAGATTTGAAAGAATGTTAAAGCAGTTGCTCTTGGATTTTGGAATGCTTTTTTTTGAGTAAGTAGGAATTTGCCCCAATATAATTACTCTTTTTGAGTATAGAAGCAGGCCTGTAGGGGAATGTAGATTTGGACCTGAAAATTGCTTATGGAGGAATTTTTCACTTCCTCATTTTTAAAATTAGTTTGGTCCAACAGTTAGTTTGAAGCCAATATGAATTATATTCAAATTTGTCCTTTTTATGAGATGAATATATGTAAAATATGATTTGGCTCTTTAACTTAGAGAAATTTTTCTTGCATTTTTCTATTTAATGGAAGTGAAATAAAAAAGGAAGACCTTAAGGGACAGGGTTGAAACACAAAGATTATGCCCATTCCCAAAGTTAGTTGCACCTTAAAATCACCTAAGATCTTTAAAAAGTACTGAGACTATTACCCCATGATATTCTAATATAATAGGTATGAGGTGCCGTCTTGGCACAGGCATTCTGAAAAGCCTTCCATGTGTTTCTAATGAGCAGTCAAGTTTGGGAACCATTATCCTAGGGAACATGAGGACCAACATGTAAAGCCGAAAGCACCAGGACTTTCAGAGTGAGCTTAGACTTGAGGCCTTTGATATCTGATTGGAATTAATTGAACTGAAAGGTTACAAGGACTCTTAATTGTTATCGGGATTTAGCTGGTTTTGATTGGAATCTGGACTGATTTTGGATCCCAGGATTCCATTCAAGAGTTGACAAATTGTTCTGTGTCTGCATGTTTATGTTTTCCTTTGAGTCCCGTAGAATTTTACGGGGGCCAAGGGCTTTTTTTTAATGGCAATTCTGGTACTGTGGGTCTTAACTACTAACGAGACTGAACCAGTAGTGATAGGTGTTTGGAGTTCAGACCTCGATTATTTCTGTTTTGAACAAAACACAGTCATTTATAGGTATGGCAAGAAAGTAGTGCTTTCTGCTCCCTCCATCCTGGTTGTCTGTAGCACCTGAATCCCCATGAGAAATTCCTGGAGGATTTTGGTAAACAGCACCTTGGCTGGGTGTCTAAGAATCAACTTCTAATCAATCAGCAGTTATGGGTGTAAGGTTTTCTGTGACAGGTTCAAGACGAAAGGGCTCAGATATGGTAAAGCTGTCTGATACTTGTTGAAAGTAGAAGGGAGGAAAGGTAGAGGCTTTGTTGGCAGATTTAACGTGAGTGGGTTAGACAGTCCAAGGCTGACCCCACATCAATATAGCAGTCTCTGAATGCCGGATGGTGGTCTGGATGCTGGCAAAAGACCAAAGAAATGAGAGTGAATCTTCACTTCTCTGTTTGAAATGACTTGGCTGCCCATTTGCTGAATAGGAAAAAGCATCATAAGTGCTAATCGGTAGATCCGATGCGGCTTTTCATGGTATTAGGCACAAGCAAAATGAGACTGATATGAAAATAAACCAGTGTGAACAAGTGAAAATGTTTACAATGAGAAGAAGTCCTTTTATGCTGTTGTGGTTACTGTGTTGGGGGACCCTTGGCAAGGATGGGGGGTCCAGGGAAGAAGAGGTGCAGGCTGATGAGTTTCATAGACAGTGGGCTTGGATTCATTTTATCCTTATCTGCAACACATCACAATGATTTCCAGGAGGTCCCCAGGGGCTTCGGGGGCAGGGACATGCTGTTCACGGTGCAGTGAACAGAAGTAATGCTGACCCCATCAGTCCTTGGGCAGTCTTTCACGGACCCCAGCCTGAGAGCATACCTCACGTGGTGGGCAATGTGGAACGCCTTTCAAAGAGCATCCTCCCCGCCTCCCCCCCTCCCGCCCCCCCGGCCTGTTTGTGACTCTCTGTATCACAAAACCAGACAAGAGCCAAGGTTAAGACTCTGGAATTCACATGCCTCTCTTTGTTGTTTCTGACCCAAGTCTGCTTAGTCCCTGAACGCGTGCTGGTTAACAGATCTCTCTCCACATTGTCAGGTTCAGAAACACATCCCCAAGTCCTTTGGGAGCCTGGGAGAAACAACTTTGGGGGCAATGGCCCTTTAGCTTTCTGTCAGACAAAAGGCTTCTTGATATTTGATTTCACTGGGAATACATCTCATATCACGATTCTACAATTAATATAAGCTAAAGAGTCTCAGGAAAGGCATCACTTTAGGAAAAGTATTACTTGTGATCAGAAGGAAACCGAGTGAGAGGTTTATTTCTTCTAGATAGAGTTGTGTGTGTCTTATTCTTAAATTAAAAGAAAGATATCTTCAGAAGGCTCCATATCCATCCCCTCGGGCAGTCACTGCAAAAGTGGGGTAGACCTCATATGCTGTATATGCTGCTAAGTCTTGTCCAAGGGTCACCGCCTGCTTGAGCTGGGCTGCGGACACGGGTGCACTTGCATTAGGGACAGCATACCCTGGAGGGGACAGAGAAAGCTTCATCAAAGGCATTCATACGTGCTACCTTTGGTTTATTGGGAATATGAAAATTTAATGTCACTTACAGCCAAAAGTTAATATGTCTATTTAACAAAATGAACTCATGGGGTAGCTCAGTCAGTTAAGCCTCTGATTTGGGCTCAGGCCATGATCTCGCAGTTTGTGAGTTCAAGTCCTGTGTCAGGCTGTCCACTGTCTCCCCACCCTGCCCCGCCCCTCCCTCACTCTCTCTCTCTCAAAAATAAACATTAAAAAAATTAAAAAGGGGTGCCTGGGTGGCTTAGTCAGTTAAGTGCCCGGCTTGGGCTCAGGTCATGATCTCACAGTTTGTGGGTTAGAGCCCCACATCGGGCTCTATGCTGACAGCTAGCTCAGAGCCTGGAGCCTGCTTTGGATTCTGTGTCTCCCTCTCTCTCTGACCCTCCCCTGCTCACACTGCCTCTCTCTCTCTCTCTCTCTCTCTCTCTCTCAGAAATAAATATAACATTAAAAAATAAAAGAGTAAAAAATTGAATGCTGGAGAGATAATATCTAGACTCATTGACTAGGGGACAGTGTTCCTTGAAGCGAGGTCAACTATGTATGCCAGAACCACTTCATGCTTACAGGATTGGAAACACTGGAGGCAGAGTTTGAGAAACAGAAGTGTAACAGGATGCTGAGTTAATGAAAGCTTGAGATTTAGAACTTTTTCAGAGGGTTGCAGAATTTACAACGGAGAGGGGGTGATTGAGAGGCTGGTAATGCTTGAGAGGTGTGGCTCTGTGGGTCTGATTTTGTACCCCTTACCCTCACCTAAATGAAATGTTAAAAAATCATTTTTTTCACCCAAGAAGGACGTATAGGGACTAGGTAGACCAGTAGGAAAAATATTGAACATTTTCACGTGTTTCTATGTAGCACCATAAAAGCAAATACCTGGCCTATTTGCATTTAGACCGAACCGTGAAGGGTGAAGACCATCTTGCCTCTCCAGCAAGCTGTCTGGGAGCCATGAGGCTTGTCCTCACCATAGACAACCAAGGCGGTTGAGTGGCGAGGAGGTCATCATGAGCGGTCATGTTAATATCATGTGTGTCTGATTGACATCCACTTCTAGAGAAAAGGGCATAACAGCTATTGTCTAAAAGCAATGTTTCTCTGTTAATGTTTTAGATCAAAATCAAGTTTTTTCTGAGCTGATCCAAAAAAGTGTGCAGATGACAAGAAAGAGGGAAAAATATACTTAAGCAACAAATGTGGACCTGATTAAAAAAAAAAAAAAAGGCCCATTTAGTTTATGTGCCATGGCGGTCATCCCAACCCAGACACATTGATTTCTTTCTGGTGGCTTCTCAGGAAGTGGTGGCAGGAAACTGGCTGGACTATTTTTTAAAAGATTAAATCCAGTCTTTGGCTTGTGCACTTTGGCCAGTAATGCTGACTAGTGCACTACTCAAGTTCGGTACATCTTCTGAGGATGTGAGAAATGTGTTATCAATTACTTTCCTAACTTTGGAAATTGTATTTCTAAATAAGTGAGTAAAAAATACACATGTGTGAGAGAGAGAGTGTGTGTGTATAGATTCTATTTAGGGGTTTTGAATTTTCTTCTTCAACTTGGCTAATTTCCCAAGTGCAAGAGTACTTGGATTTTAAACAGATTCTTCCCTGGGAGCCCATTATTCTTTGCTTGACTCCACAGCAAAGTTATAAGAGAGGCTCTCAGAGTCCTAGGCGTCCCCAAGACAACTCTCATGCCCTAAATATTTTTTACTTCTTGTGGGAGCAAACAGAAGTGAGGACAAGAGCAAACATTCTGAGGTAAAGTAAATCCTTTCCAATGTGCAATTGGAAAGTTCTGACAGTGGCCCATTTGTTTTTATAGTACGTTATTTAGGTGGCGTTGTGGTGCAGCTGTCCACAAGATAGGGGCTCCATCTTCGCCAAGAACCAAGACCCCTGGCACAGGACACTCAGTAGACTGACATGGCGACACCCTGTTGTGTGGCAGGCGAGCACGGGGCTGGTGGCCCCGGTACAGCCCAGGGGACCTGCCCTGTGCAGTGGTAGCTGTTGGTCTGGCAACCTCACAGGGGCACACCACACATCTTCTCCACGTTTGACAGAACAAAGTTGGAATTGAAGTCACATTCTTAGTTGCAACCTTGATTGCCAGAATGGAAAACATATTTTCAATTTTTGAGAAACAAAAGAAAACCAGAATGAGCCCAGGTGTTACGTATGTGGGCAATAGAGAGTTGTCACGCCTGTACGTGACCAATGTATGAATGAATGGATTGACAGAAATGCCTTCTGTCCAGGTCCAGTCAGATCTCTGAGTTGGTCTTAAGGGAGGTATGACTCATGACCAATTTCTTCAAAAGAAATGAACTTTTATTGCTAAAAATGAATGGAGTTATTCAACCTAACTGCTAAGGAAAAATAACCAGAACAAATTTGTTGTCTGTTTTTTTTTAATCTCTAGAGGGTTCACTTTTTAATTATCAGCATTGGTTGTAGGTACATAATAATTGGGGGAAAGTCTTTTAAATATGACCCTAAAGGTGTGTCAATCTACAGATAGACTTTACGTTGAGCAAATAGCATGTGCTCCAGACCAAAATTACAGACCAGATAAAATGAGGGCTGATTATCCACATATTGAATGTATCCCAATCTGTCTCTGACTCTCTCTTACACAGAGTTTTTGACTTAAAATAACTTAGAAATATATGGTCTACATATTTCTTTCAGAAAGCAAAGTAATAGAAGTCAAGTTGAATTGAAGATTAGAAAAGTGCAGACAGTCCAAGGGCTCCTTAAAAGCCAGTTGATCTTGGCCAAATTACTTCACCATCCCCGTCCTTGGTTCCTTTAGCTTACAATGGGGGTTATGCTTCAAGCTACCTCTTGCAATGTCATGAGTGTTACTGATATAATATAAAGCATGCTGAACATTTATTTAGGTGAGAGCCTGGTGTGCCCTGAGCATTCAAGTAAACATCAGCTCTTAATAGGCAGTTCCATACCCTCTTATTAAAAGTGAAGACCCAAGCCAATCAGATTCAGAGACTGGCTCTTTTGAGATCATGCTGTCACTCAAGCTGAGCTGAGGTTGGCCCCCACTTCTTCCTTGCACTCCCTATCACTCCTCTCTGTCCCACCCATATGGTTCACTCACTTAGACAGTGTTTTTGGTCACAGATGGTGTAAATCATATTTTCTGTGGGTGGAGGTCATAAACAGCTCTGAGAGTCCATGGTCCCAAGGGAGGGCTTCCCAAACACTCTAGGTGGGGCGCCATGTCTGGCAGAATTTTCCATACCTGGGAAAGCAGTGGCAGCAGCAGCAGCAGCAGCGGTGGGGGCATCGGCCCCATCGGTGGGGATGCCCAGGGTGTGAAGGGTGTGCTCAGCTGCGTAGGTCTTGGCTTCATCCACATAGGCACTTAGCTTAGGAGGTGTGAAGTGGTGGCTGCGAAAGGCATATTCAGTCAGGGTAGGCATTTAAATTTGAGAGGCTGACATGGGGCCAAAGTTATGTGGTTGTTAGTGTTTTCAGATGAGCGGATAGTGGAATTTTGTGTGGGTGATTTTTATTCTCTTTGCACTGAAGACTTCTACGTGTGTGTGTGTGTGTGTGTGTGTGTGTGTGTGTGTGTAGGAAGATTTGTGACCTGACCCAGGACATCAGTGGTAGACATAACATTCCTGGATCACACACATAACTAACTACATGGCTTTTCTACTGTGCATGTGAAACAGGAGAGATCCTAAAATATGCACAGATGCAGGCTTGAGGAGGTGATACCCACTCACAGAGAGGATCTTGGATCCAAAATTTAGGTAACAGAGCATGGGGTTATTATGTATAAAATGGAAGCTTCCTATGGTTCAACCTGAGCACTACACAGATAAAAGAAGGGGCGATAGTCTTCAATTCTGTTACATTTTACGTCTGAAGTTTTTCATTGGTTGATGATGCTACACAGTCTTCATTGTCTGTATGCAACGCGGGGCCTTTGAGAGGTTGGCACATCTATCCCACTACACAACTCAACATTTGCGTTTAATGAAAATTGAGTAGATAGTAGACTTAAATATTTAGCTTCTATAGATAGTGACAAAATAGGGGCACCTGAGTTGCCTAGTGGGTTAAGCATCCAAATCTTGATTTCGGCTCAGGTTGTGATCTCACAGTTCGTGGAATCAAGCCCCGTGTCAGGCTCTGTGCTGACAGCGTGAGGCCTGTTTGGGATTCCCTCTCCCTCTCTCTCTCTCTGCCCCTCCCCCTGCTCATGCACACATTTTGTCTCTCTCAAAATAAATAAACATTAAAAAAAAAGATAGTGACAAAATATACTTAATTTACTGGAGACTCTTATTCTAAAATCTTATAAGATTAGGCATTTAGGGGACATTACGCACATCGCAGGATTCTGGCTGGCCAGGGCAGGAATGGTTACTTTGTATAAGAATAGTTGCCTTTGATCTTGTCCAATGGCCGAGTGTAGCTGATATACCGGTTGTCCCCAGTTATTTTTCTGACAAATTTCTTCTAGTATCTACAAGAGTTAAAAAAGAAAAAGTGATTTCCCTTCCAAATGTCACATTTACATTATTTCTCCAGCTTTCAGGGCTTTAAACTCTAATCTTCAGTGTTGAAGCCAATGTAAGAAAATATAAAATGCCACATGGTTTAATGACTTCTACGGTTTAAGATGAACTTAACTTGAACTCCATTTAAAATGTTACGTCTATTAATTCATAAAAATCACTTTCACACCATTTATTCTAATACGCTTTTAGTTCAGTCCATTAGCTGTAACTTTTTTTTTTTTACCAATAGCTTAATTTTATGATTTGTTTGATGTATTTATTCCATTAAAGAAAAATTGACATTTCAGCACTGTGTGGCTGGATTTCCTCCTCATTATCCTCAATCCTTCTGTCTATAATGGTTTAGAGAAAATAACCTAAGAATATATTCTTATTTCATGTCATTTGTAATAGGGTTTTCACTTTACATTTTCATAAAAATTGAGTTAAAAAGTTTAATAGGTTACTAGCTCCTGGTGAGCATTAACAGATGGGTGTTGACAGTTGCAAAGTTTGTCTGGCAAAACACCACTTCTGGCTATTTTTACAACGATCGGAATTTTAGAATCTTCCTGCGTGCTTTTTCCTTCGTCACTACCTCAAACTGAATCTTGTCTCAAGGCACACATTAAAAAGTTTGTTTTCATCCTGAAGCTTTTTTTGGTGGCCTACCAGCGCTGATGCTCCCCTGAGTCAGCACATTCAGGAAACTGTGCAAAACGGGGCTGCGTCTGAGAGGAGTTCGTGTTTGGGATAGAGCAATGTCCCTGGCTCACTCCATGGAGGGTCTTACCTCATTTGTTCTGACACTAATCCAGCTGCAATAGCGGGGCATTTTCCAATGTATTAAATTTGTAGATTGCTCCTATTTCCTCTATTAACTTTTCCTTTCTAATACTCCTGGTTTTGCAGCATCCCACGTCATCCCATGTCATCTACAAAGCATTCCTTAAGTGTTCCTGGGCACCAGCAAGCCACAAACATCGTGTCTGTCTGTGTGTGCCCAGTGTGCAAGTAGGTGCTCAAGAAGTTACAACTATTGACTGTACAGGGCAGTCTCTGTCTCTCTGCTCCTGTTGGGCATTTGTGACCCCACCACGGAACTGTTAAGGCCCCAACTATGTTGGTTTGGGTTGGTGTAGCCTTCCATGTTTAAGCCATAGTTGTAGAGAATCAGAGACAAACTAAAGAACTTTCATTAGTTGCTAGAGATGGTTCCTTACATATTAGTATAAACCATGACCAGTTTCTAAGCTGGGTTTAATATGAGATGCAGAGATTATCCCTCACACTATGACAGCTCATAGAACCATGATATGGAGTTTACACTTATTTTTTATTTTCTTAAAAGATTTCTAAGTATCTTAGTTCTTTAAGAGGGTTCCTTATTTTACATTTCAGTTCAAGATAGATTGGATGACAAGCTTTAGTGTTTTCCGAGCAAGACTTCATCATGACACTGGATTTTATTATAATTATGTATACTTATATTTTTACATAATATTATATATAATTATTATATTTACATGTCAGTATCCTCTTTCTGGATTGCCATATGATTTTTGATGGCGAAGACTGTATTATATTCTCTTTTCCACCCACAGCACCTAACACAGTACTCGGTGTGTGATGGATGCCCAATAAATGGTTTTTGAATAAACAAATGATGGCCGTTTCCCACTCTGATAGGCATCTTTATTTATATATTTATTTATTTATTTTTAATGTTTTTTATTTATTTTTGAGACAGAGAGAGATAGAGCATGAGTGGGGGAGGGGCAGAGAGAGAGAGAGACACAGGATCTGAAGCAGGCTCCAGGCTCTGAGCTGTCAGCACAGAGCCCGACACTGGGCTCGAACTCATGGATCACGAGATCATGACCTGAGCCGAAGTCAGACGCTTAACCGACTGAGCCACCCAGGCACCCCTAGGCATCTTTATTTTTAATTGCCTGGGCAGGGAAAGCAGACACCTTAGATGAACGAATTTGTATGTGTAAGACAACAAAAATCGTATTCAAGGTGAGCATTTAGAAAGCCAAGTTTTCTGCTTGATTGCAATCATAAGGCTACTCCCATTGACTTGGGGCTTATACCTTTGGGCCTGGAGTAGGGAAGTTTCCTGTAGGGTCAGCAAACTGCACCTGTGAACAACCGGTTATTGCTTTTTCGGTCAGTATCTCTACAGGCAGATGGCATGTACTGCACACCCACAGGCAACAGGCTATGGGTCAACATAGATCCTGTTTTCGTTTATTTTCCACAGTGGAACAGCTTTTATAACTTTTAATTTTCCAGTAATAAGAACCACAGCCTCATGCAGACACATGGAAATGTGGAGCTGTGAAATGAGAGCATTAAAAACTCACCATAATCACTGCCCAACTATAATTATTATAGAAGACTTAATTGGATACTACTGATGGTGTCTCATAGTTCACATGGGTAATGATATCACCATCGGTGGTGTGGTGTTTTCTCTTAAACACAGTGTTTCCGGGGAGCCTGGAGGGCTCAGTCAGTTAAGCGCCCAACTCTGGCTCAGGTCATGATCTCGTGGTTTGTGGGTTCGAGCCCCATGTCGGGCTCTGTGCTGACAGCTCAGAACCTGGAGCCTGCTTCGGATTCTGTGTCTCCCTCTCCCACTCACCTCTGTCTCTCTCTTTCTCTCAAAAATAAACAAACATTAAAAAAAAAGCAACACAGTGTTTCCAATAAAAGATGTCCTGTTTGGTCTAGTCATTCCCTGTCACGACTACTCTGCATTAGCCTATTCCTACACGGTAGGCATTTACTTTGAGTCAGGGCCTTTGCTTCACTTTATTTTCATTTAAGGTATTGGTTGATAATTATTGATAGCTCTCAGGATCTTCATATTCCAGTTGTTCAGATTATTCAAGGTGTCAAACTTCTTCAACTTTTTAGGAAGTGTGAAATGGGAGAGCGACACTCAACAGCGGGCATGTTGATTGGCCGCGTTGTCTATGTAAACAAAACAAAATAAGCAGTGGCCAAAGTGGGGACCAGGTCAAATAATTTGAGGACAAGTGAGTGAAGGTCTTTGGCCTAACTTAAGGAAATTGTCTCTGGGATAACATGACCTACCTGGGGAGCAAGTTTAATTCCCTGGGGTTTTAAAGCGACAGGATTCATTGGGGTGAGCTCCATCCCAGGTAAAAGATCGTAGAGTTTGTCTTCTCTCTTGTCTCCTTTGACCTGGTATCCACGACCCAGGCCTGTGTAGGCCAAATAGCCACGGCCGCCTAGTCTTCTTACTCCCGCAGCCCCTACAGGTACATTCATGTAAATTTCTAGGAATGTAAGAAGGCATTAAACTGAATCAAACCACCAGAAAATCACCCTGAATCTTACTGTAATGGAAAAGTTAGCCCAAGTCCCATTGATTACCACCCTGAAGATGCACAGAAAACTCTAGGATTCTGATGTAATGAAACTCAACAAAAGGTAGGGGTCGCCATAGGTGTCTTTTTTTTTTTTTTTTTTTTTCCTTTTTGACTCTGGGGAAGCAAGCAATCCTATCAGAGTCATCCGTAAGTACACGAGGAACTTTAAACTTTGGTACAGAGGAAAATTTTGCAACTTCTGTCTTCAGTTAACCTTTTGTTGCTATTTTTCTACAGACTAATAAATGTTGGGGAGGCATTTACTTAAAGATCCCAGGGTGTTATGACCATGTGTATTAAAAGAAGAGCTGCATTTTTATCATTGATCAGTAAATCAGAAATGAATTCTAGCTTCTCCAATAGTTCCATCCCCAATGATCAGTCGGGAAATGAACTTTGAGAAAACAGGTTTTTAAGTTCATTATTTTCTGTTTTATGGTCTGTCAATGTGAGGCTTAAATTTCCATTGAGTTTCATTAATAGATTCCTTTTGATTGTTTGTTTTGCCGTGTTGCTACTTTGATTTCCTACCGATGGCATAAAGTGATAAAGAAATTAAATTGATTACCCTTCATCCATGAATCTCATTCATTGATTTCCTTTCTTGTTATAAGGTATTTTTTCCCTTGGAATGGACTTTGTTTTTTTCCTACATTACAACTGGCTGCCAATTTATATTTAACATATGGATTACTTAATAACATGATTTCAGATTACAAATGCATAATATTTTAATGACATTGTTTGTCATCACATAGATTATGCCAGAGGAAAACCTGATGATTTCTTTAGCATTATAATCTTGGGCAGAGTGATTTTATGACGATTTTGGAAATTGTAAGACTGTTGAAGACTAGGGATCTTAGGATGGTCAATTCAGTTTTCCTGAAAAATAGTAAAACACAGTAAGAGAATAGTTTTCACAGTAATCTGGCATGCCCCTTTGCTTCTAAGTAAAACCTCAGGATGGAGTTAAATACAAGTTTGTTGTCAAGTTGCCCAGAATGGTATCATATTTGGAAGATAGAACTGGGATCCTTTGGCATTAACTACATCCAAGCAGAACCATTCTGAAGGATCCCATTAAGCAGAGACGAACTCGTTCACTAGAAATTTTAAAAAATGGTTTCCTTTTCATCTATGTTCCTTGAACTGAGCCCAGAACCTTGCTTGAACATTTGGACTTCTTCTTATAGGATTATATGGGAAATATTTATTGTTTAATAGTCTTTTTTCCTATTTGGACTTTACTATTTAGTTCCCCATATCCTGGAGAAATAAGTTGATTTCTTCAATAGTGTGGCTTTTTAGAAGGCATAGCACATATTTCTGGGGGAAGTCCGATGAAAGTATGTCATGTGTCTGTTAGAATGCATTTATGATAATTTGATTTATATACGAATATGCCCCTGAGTCACTGTCAAATACACATGTGTCTTGACATATTTTTACTATTTGACAGAATTGGTTTTCATTGGCCCCTCCTTGCTTTCACTTGTAAGATTTCTAATGAGTCACAAATGACTGCAATATGGTGGTGGGCCAATGATAAGGGAGTAGCTAACTACTTAGTCTGTACAAGCTTTATGCACCAATGAAAAGATCAGATGTATGCATTAGACTCCTTTGTGCTATGTCCTGACCAAATTTTTCCAATAACCAGTTGTAATGTGAAAAAAGATTTTTTATAACTGTTGATGTACTAACATTTGATTTTTCATAAACAATTTTCCAGTCCTTTTCTCCCAGTGGACCCATCCAATTTATCTAAGGCTATTGCAGTACAAATCATTTGACATTGTGGAGTTATTCGTGGGCAAGAGCTGATGAGCGTTACCTCTAACAGAAGGGGCTCGGATAATGGCCCTGTTGCCAAGATGTCCTTTGGTGCCTGGGAAGTGAAGGCTGGGAATTGCTGTATAGGCCTGAGGGGCATAGAAGACAGGAGCTCCAAGGTAGGTTGTGGTGGGATCATAAACATGGCCCAACGAGTAGGTGTAGTCTCCTTGCAGCATGGCGCCCCTTCCTCCAGTGCCTCGGGTGTACCTAACGTAACTGTCCTTGTCCACTGGTTTGGCTAGGGTCACTTCAATGGGAGAGCCATCTAGCACCTGTTGTGGAGAGCAAAGAAGAAACAACATCAGAAGATATGAAGACAACCCAGTGTGGCGGAGTCTTTGTCTCTTGAGCGTTAGTTTGCTGCTCTGTTCACTGTTTCACTGACACGTATCTTGTCTCTTTATCAGTTCATATTTGTGGGTCAGTTGAGTTTTCCTGAGTGGTTTTGTTGGTAAATTGCATATAATATGCAACAGGGTTGACAGTGACAAATTGGCCACTGTCTACTGACATATGGGTTGTAAATTATGTGAATACAGTCACTGTGACAGGGAATTATGTGATATTTTTATGAGATATATATGGTTTTAATTATATATTATATAAATCTAAGAAATTTTAGGTTAATAATGGGTAGAATATAATCTTCACTACATAGCACAGCACAATGAAGGGTACGGGGATCTTATCCATTGTTAGCACCTTGGCATGGTAGTCTAGTCAGGTCGTTCTGGCTGCCAGCCAGCTAAATAGCTTACTTCTTCTTTTTTTAAATATTTTATTAATTTTTGAGTGAGAGAGAGAGAATGAATGAGGGAGGGGCAGAGAGAGAAGAGGACAGAGGATCCAAAGCAAGCTCTGCACTGTCAGGCTGGTAGTAGAGCCCGATGAAGGGCTTGAACTCACGAAGTTCGAGATCATGACCTGAGCTGGAGTCAGATGCTCAACCAACTAAGCCACCCAGGTGCCCCTAAATTGACTTTCTTCTTAGAGTGGCTGCACAATAGGTAAGTTTTTACTAGAAAAAAAAAAGGAAGTTTAAATAATGGGGCCCTACTTAGGGAAGAGGAATCAGGAGGCTACTGTACTTTCCCCAAAGGTAACAGTGAAACAAGTTTTTGACCTGCTGCTAGCTGAGAACTGGCAGAGAAGCCAGGGGAAGCACTGCGATCTCTCAGTCATGCACTTCTTAAAATATGTCCTCAAGAATTATTGGGCTGGTGTTTGTTTCTGATGCAAGTTTTTGACATTTTGCAAACAGATCCCGATGTTGAAGACAATGGCTGTGTGTAAATCTACACACACCACTCGCTTTTCTCTATTGCTTTCTGACACAAGAGACCAAGATGACTCTCAACAAATGCTTGATGGATTGACGTATTTCTTATCAAAGGGACAAGGTGTAGTGAGGAAGCATTTGTGGCTTCCTCTGAATCAGAATGTAGTAAGCTTCTAAGAAAAGGAATGATATGAAGTCTTCCTGCAAGGATTCCCTGTCACAGCAGCCACCATTTTGTGAGTGCTTCAGTGGTTCTGGGATCATTGAGGTCGGCAGGACAAAGTTGTGCTTCCTGGTTGTGCTGACCATTTTGGTCAGCCTTGGGGCAACTTGTTCCTAGTTTCATATATCTGCCCTACTTTCTAGCAGCAAGAGCCAGAATCGAATGTGTTAGCTGGAATAGACTGAGAGAGAATTCAACTCTTTACACTGGTGCTGATGTAATTAGAAGAAAGAGACCAGAGTATCAAAGGTATCAAAGGAAGGGAGTGGTTTGGTAATAAGATTCCTCTCTCTCTCTCTCTCTGGCCTGTGCCAGACGTGTGTGTGTTGAGGAAGGTGAGAGACCCAAATAGGTCTCTGCTTCTAGACTTTGATATCAAGAGACATTTTTAATGGAATGATTCTTTACTGCAAAGTCAGAGTCCATATCGTAGTAGAATTTGTGTTGCATTCATTGTCCCTGTAGGAGTGTTTTGGTTTTTTTAATTTTAACATTTATTTTTGAGAAGGAGAGAGACAGAGCACGAGTGGGGTAGGGGAAGAAAGAGGAGAGGAGAGTATCTGAAGCAGGCCCCAGGCTCCGAGCTGTCACCACAGAGCCTGATGTGGGGTTTGAACTCGTGAACCATGAGATCATGAACTGAGCCGAAGTCAGACACTTACCCGACTGAACCACCCAGGTGCCCCTTGTGTGTTTTAAACTCAGTATTGTATTTTAGTTATTTGCTCTAGACGTTTCAAGAACTAGGACAATATCTTATTTGTTGGTATATTCCTGAGCCCAGAAGAATTCCTGGCACATCATAGATATCCACAAGTATTTCTACAATAGATCAACAACCAGATGCAAAGCTCAGTTCATCACCTTTTTCTCCAAACAGGTTTCCTTTCCTGGCTTCCCTAACCGTACCATCCAGCTGGCCCATATTGAAGACCGATGACTCTTGCTCACTCCGACATCCAATCAGTTCCTGGATGTTTTCAGTTTCATTCCCCGTAGCCCTATGTGGAGCTTTCTCCTACTTTCCTTTCCTGCCCTCCTTCAAGCCCTTATTGCTTCCTGTTTGGGTGACTGTAACAGCTTTGTAACTAGTTCCAATGACATCTCTCTCCCTACTCCATAAAATTTCAACTCTTACTTAGTCCGTTCATTCCCTTAAGCTCTAAATGTGGTCATTACTCCATTGCACACAAAACTTCCAAGTCTCACCTTGTCTGAGAAGTTGACTATTAATCTGCATATCTGTACTCAAAGCCTGCATAGTTCCTAGAGAAACTTACTTTAGATTTTCCCATACCTTATTATAGTAAAATATAATTATATTTGTTATATATTTTAAAATAATGAATGTATATTTAACTACATAATAGATACACATTGCTATAGAGATATCGAGCTCTGAGGCACCTGGCTGGATCAGTTGGAAGAGTATGTGACTCTTGATGTTGGGGCTGTGAATTTGAGCCCCAGGGTGGGTATAGAGATTACTTAAGACATAAAATCTTTTTTTTTTTTTTTAATTTGAGAGAGAGAGAGAGAGAGAGCATGAGCAGGGGGAAGGATTGAAAAGAGAGAGAGAAAATGGCAGAGGGAAGGCCAGAGAGAGAGAGAGAGAGAGAGAGAGAGAGAGAAACATTAATGGGCTCCATGCTAAGGATGGAACCCATTGTGAGACTTGATCTCACAACCCTGGGATCATGACCTGAGCTGAAATCAAGAGCTGGATGCTCAACTGATAGAGCCACCCAGGTGCCCCAAAACATAAAATCTCTAAAAATATATCTAGCTTATCTGGATGTAAGAATTGGGAACAATTTGAATGTTTTTCCATCGTAATTATTTCAATGTCATTATTTAGCATTTAGGACCGACTGTCTCTTCTCAGCAATTATCATGTATCCTCAGGAATGTTTTCAAATTGAGAAACTAACCTATGAATTGTTTTCAGAGTAATAACAGCTTTATGATGCTAAATGTGATCATTGACAAAGATGAAGTGGTGATTCGCTTCATGGACATATACTGAAATCTGTATTAATTTCTGCTTTGCAGTTTTCTTTTTGTGTTTTGGAGTCCGTACCTTCTCTCCTCCAGGACTCAAGCATGTCTGTAGATGCCTGATTGGCCCCTAAGCCCAGCCCCCTGGGGCTGACAGACTTGTTCTGGGAGGTGCTCCCTTAGCTGCTGTCTGTGTCCTCTGGCCCAACATCCCGGCTTCTTTCTCCCAAGGAGACGTGCTCTACCCAGTCCTCTCTCCCTCACATTTCCTGTTATGTCTCCAGCCCCTTGTGGCCTTGACCCCAGTGGTGCGGTGATCCTCAGCTCCACCACTCTTTTGCTTCCCCTTCCCCACACTCACACTCTGTACTTAGTCCCTCTCCCAGCTGGCTGCTGCTAGGGCAGACTGGTGCAAAGCCCGGCAGGCAATGCAGCCCGACATGCGTTATGTTCTAACCAAATTGGTCTACTTTCAACGTTCCTCAGTCGCTTTTTGTGCTTTCCAAACTATGTGCCTCTGAGACTACCTCTCCATTTCCATGTGTTTTTCTTTGGGAAATCTGCCCAATTTTTATGGCTTCTTATGGTTACTATCTTCTCATCTCCATGAAGATTTTCTGATTCTTAATGGCTCATTCCTTCTTCCTTCGAACATGCTCACCACTTTAAATATTAATGAAACTTATTTGGCTGAACTATGAAAGATGTGTGTATACTTTTTCCTCTGGTAGGCTTTTAGCTCGGTGACAAATATCTTTGTTTTTTTGTATCCTAGATATTATTTAGCAAGATAAAAGTGGTGTATTGAAGGGTTTTAATATTTTTTAAATTAATACATTTTAATGTTTATTTATTTTTGAGAGACGAGTTTGAGCAGAGAAAGACACAGAATCTGAAGCAGGCTCCAGGCTCTGCACGGTCAGCACAGAGCCCGATGCGGGGCTCAAACTCATGAACTGTGAGACCATGACCTGAGACAAAGTCAGATGGTCAACCAACTGAACCCCACAGGTGCCCCAGAGGATTTTAATGTTTATTGCACTGATAAGTAAATGTTATATTGGTTTCTATTTACAAGTCAGGAGAAAGGACTTAGAAACTAGCTTTTCCCCAGACCTAACTCTTGGCAAGGTGAAGAGACTCAATGCCTCCCAGAGTAGGGAGATCAAAACTTTGAGGGCACAGTGACAGTAGTGACCTTGACCTCTTTTCTGGTCATCAGCCTCCAAAATACTCCACTACTGAGGTGATAATCTCTTGAAGTAATGACAGAAAGTTGCACCTGAGAAAAATACCTTGAAATAACATGTGCTAATACTCCAATCCCTCACTTTGGAAGGAGATTGAGGGCCAGAGGTATGTTCAAATCAGCCAAAATTAGAGATAGAGCAGGAGCCACATTTGCATTGTGTTTTCTGTCACTTACTCTTCTTTTTTTCCATCATCAATGGACCAAGGCAGCCATGTTAGAGGTGGAAAAAGCCTGAGTGACACGGACTTGCCTGGTTGTTCTTTTGAATAAAATTTCCACGCCAAACTTGGGTGGAACTTTGTGTGTGTGTGTGTGTGTGTGTGAGCATTGTCCTACATTACCTTTCCATTTAAAGCTTTCATAGCCTCAACTGCATCCTCCCGATTACTGAAATGCACAAAAGCATAGTCTCGGATTTTCTTTACCCTCTCCACAGCGCCTGTAAACAGAGAAAGGAGCCCCATTAGCAAAGTTGAGATAACATTGAAAATGATACATTTTAGCATTTAGCTTCCAAGAGTATTTGAGGGTTTTTTTTTTTTTTTTTTTTTTTAGAGACTCATTGTTTAGGTAAAGATCTCCTGGAGAATGCTTGCTGTGCCCAGGTTTACAACTGTATACATTCAGTAGAAGCTTTTGTTTGTAATTTTTAAATATCACCTGTATTCTTCCATACTGTTACTTATGGATTTGTGTTTTCCACTTCCTAGATTATAACATCTTTAAGGATAGAAGCAGTATCTTATTTTGTCTGTATATAATATAAAAGATAGTAACTTATACTTGGTAAAATATTTTTTCAATTGCTTTGAACTATTGGTCATTCTATAAATATATATTTAGGTGATCACCTTTTAAAATTTTCTGCCTTCCCCCCCAGACAAATATTTTGTCTCTTTTGATTTATGTAGTACAACTTTAGAATTAGGAGAGACTTTAGCAATGATTTAAGTTATTAGAAACTCACTTGAGCTGGGGGTGTGTAGGTGACTGAGTTGGTTGAGCCCACTCGTGACCTCTCTTTCTCAAAAATAAACAAACATAAAAAAATAAACTAAAAAAACTCACTTGACTTTAATTTATTTTTAACTTAAATATTAGGAATCTAAGGTTCTGACAAGGTGAGATTTGTAAGAGCTCACACAGCTAGGAACTAGAACTCAGATCTCTTAACTGCTTCTCTGCTAGCCTTTTGATTAAAAAAAAAAAAAGTAGTGGGGCCCCTGGGTGGCTTAGTCGGTTGAGCGTCCGACTGTGCTGACTGCCAGCTCAGAGCCTGGAGCCTGTTTCAGAGTCTGTGATTCCCTCTCTCGCTGACCCTCCCCTGCTCACGCTGTCTCTCTCTCTCCTAGAAATAAATAAAACATTTAAAAAGTTTAAAAAAAAGTTTCTGAAAGAACATCTGAAAACCAAGATAGTTCCTTACCATGCTGTTGATAATATCTAAATGTTGGAAATGATATAGATATCCACTAATCTTCCTTGAGGAGTATCTTCTACAGAAGCACTCCTATATGCAAAAGGATCACGCGTAAGGGCGTTAAGTCTATCACTATTGGGGTAGCACAAATAAAATAACTTAAAGCCCATTCTCATGAGAGTGATTAAATTTGGTACATTCACATCAAAGGAAATAAGTCTTTAGGGGTGCCTGGGCATCCCAGTTGGTTAAGTGTCCAGCTCTTGGTTTCAGCTTAGGTCATGATCTCACGCTGTGTGGGATCGAGCCCTGAACTGTGCTGTGTGCTGATGGGCTGATGGTGTGGAGCCTGCTTGGGATTCTCTTGTCTCTCCCTTTCTCTCTGCCCCTCCCCCTAGCCCCCTCAAAATAAATAAACATTAAGAAAAATTTTTAAAAGAAATGAGTCTTTAAAGAGAAAAAATAGACATATGTATGCTTACACAGGAAGATTTAAGACATTGTTAAATTTAAAAATTTGTAAAATAATTGGTATAATTTTGTAACATTTATGTTTTCAAAATCCCAACCCATGTATATGTACGCAGACCTATGAACACATATACAGAAAGAGAACTGGAAAGGTAGAGACCAAACTGTTAATAGAGGGTATTTAAGGAATGGGAAAAAAATTTGCAGGGAATAAAGGGAACTTTCATATATTAACTTATATTCTTTGGTGTTTTACAAATATGTGCAATGTTTATTTCTGTTATTTGTGTAATAAACAGCAAATCAACCTCACCTATTTGAATGTAAAAAAACTGTTGCAGGTGCTGATGGTAACGTGAAAGGAAAAAGTTTTACCAACATGGTTGAACTTTATATTTTACCTTTGATTAGGAAAATGTTGTTAGAGAATATTGTTGCCTACTCAGTTTTATTTTATTTTATTTAAATTTTTTTTTATTTCTGAGGGAGAGAGAGAGAGAGACAACATGAGCAGGGGAGGGTGAGAGAGAGAGGGAGACACAGAATCTCCCTCTGTAGTAGGCTCCAGGCTCTGAGCTAGCTGTCAGCACAGAGCCCGATGGGGGGCTCGAACCCACGAACCGTGAGATCGTGACCTGAACCGAAGTTGGCCACCTAACCGACTGAGCTGCCCAGGCACCCCTACTCAGTTTTAAAAATAGAAGTTTCGGGGAGCCTGAGTGGCTCAGTCGGTCAAGTGTCTGGCTTGGGCTCAGGTCATGATCTCATGGATGGTGGGTTCGAGCCCCATGTCGGGCTCTGTGCTGACAGCTCAGAGCCTGGAGCCTGCTTCAGATTCTGTGTCTCCCTCTCACTTGCCCCTCCCCTGCTTACACTGTGTGTGTGTGTGTGTGTGTGTGTGTGAAAAATAAACATTGAAATTCTAAATAGAAGTTTTGCCTAGAGTGAAGATAAAATAGAAACTTCTTTAATATTAACTTGTTAGCAGTTTAGCGTGACGATGGTCCTTTTTTAGTGACACTCATGTGGGTGTGTCTTGAAAGATGTGATTTCTTCTCTTCAGTTTCCAGTGCCCTTCATCTGGGCTCCACTAGACTGTGCCCTTCATCTGGGCTCTGCTATAGACTGTGCCCTTCATCTAGGCTCCACTAGACTGTAGGACCTTCTCAGGGGCCATCTTGGTATGGTCTCCATCTAGGTCCTACCTCCTGCCTTGTGTACAGAGGCTGCTCTATAGATAGACATGGAATGAATTAATATTACCAGTCAATTCACACTCCCACTTCTATCACTCATGTTAGTTACGTGGCATTTCAGATAATGGATTTAAATGTCCTCAAATTCTGTTCGTAGATAATGAAACTGGCTTGTATTTCTGAGCAATACTGTTCAGCTACACCTGATTTTGGAAATCTTAATATATGAGAATTTAGCCCCATAAAACAAATTCGAATGTGAGAGTTTGGTTTTCTCTACAATAGTATTGACCACATGGCTTATGATAGTATGTCCCTTCTTTAGTGTATAGGAGTTTGTTTACTGATTGATCATCATCTGGAAGAGAGGGGAGGAAATAAAATACTAGGGTCATCAGCAGCAGTGGAGAAAAAGACTCTGCAGTCCTAATACAGGGAATTAGGAAAATAGTACTCTGTACAGCAGCCCATCAATTACCTGAAGAGAAACCCACCTGCGATACAAAGGGAAGATTATCAGAGGGCTATGGTCCTCAGATCAACAGATATCAGCCTGTTGATCCATGACTCCACCCCGTATCCATGACTCAGAAACTCTGGGGGGTGGGGGGAGGTGGCCAGCAGTCTGTTTTAACAAGCCCCTCCTGGTGATTCTGACACTAAACTGTTTTAGGGAAATCAGATTTTGTAGAATAACTATAATTGGAATTTCCACAGATATCCTTAGACTACGCTGGGGAAGCACATACATTTTCAGCCCCAGTTTTTGTTCTGATTGTCATTTATCTCTCTGAGTGGCAGTACAGTATTTCCAGGCTAATCAGGGTTAAAACAATATGGTCAAATATTTGCCAGGAATATTTGGGGTTCTTTGAGGGATCCAAGCTTTAAATAGGATTTTTAAAGCGTTATTTTCCTGTTTCTCTCCATAAATTTTCCTAGATAAGTATAAACGCACCCTTTCCGCTGGAAAATAAGCTAGTTTAGTTCTGACTTTTTATTCCTAATCCAGCATATGTCTGCTAGTCATCCACCCTGTAGAGTGCATATTCTTTTGTGGAGTGCCAAGAAGCAGTCACACGTCATTATAGAGCCCTGAGTTGTGCCACCAGAGGGAGAGAGATGGAGAGGGAGAGAGAAGTAACATTTATTATTTTCGTTATAACTAGTAGGACACAAAAGCAAACAAAAGTAATGCTTTAATTAGATTAAAAAATATTGTGTGCAGCTATCATCGCTGTCCATTTCTAAAACTTTCTCATGAACCCAAACTGAAACCCTGTGTCTGTTAAATGATTATTTCTGGATCCTCTCTCCTTTGTCCCTGGGTAACCACCAATCTGCACCCTGTCTCTATGAATGCGACTGCTTTAGGTACCTTGTACAACTTACGCCATACAGCATAGGTCATTTTGCCTGTCTTGTTTCATTGAAATAATGTCTCTGGGGTTGATTCATGTTGTGTGTTTCGACACTTCTGCACAGCTTAGGTCTGAGGGCTGTTTCACTGCACACGTACACCATGTTCTGTCGCTCCATCCCTCTGCTGCTGGGTGCCTGGGTTGTTCCCACATTTTGGGTGATACGGATAATGCGGCTGTGAACATGGTGTGCAAGTTCAAATCCCTGCCTTGATGTATTTGCTGCATATACCCCGAAATGGAATTGTTGGATTCTATGGTGATTCTATGTTCATCAGTACCCAACATGTAGTTTTCCACAGAGGCTGCACTGTCTTTGTATTTCCATCTACGGGGCACATGGTTCTAATTGCCCCACAATCTCCCTGACATTTCTGTCTTCTTCTTGTTTAGTTATCACTACTACTACCACCATTGCTGTCTTGGGAGGTAGGAAATGGTTTGGGGTTGCGCTGCCCTGGTGAATAGTGAGGGATGTCGAGCATCTTTTAATATGCTTATTGGCCGTGTATGTGTGGCAGTTGGACAATATTGTTCTCTGGACAAATATACATTTGAAGTTTTACTTATCTGAATTTTTGGTTGTTGACTTATTATAGTTGGTCTGTCGATCTTTTATCAGCTATATTGTTTGAGGATGTTTTCACTTATTCTGTGGGTCGCTTTTGCAGTGTTAAGTGTCCTTTGAGTGGAATACTACTTGGCAATGAGAAATAGTGAAATCCTGCCATTTGTAGCAACGTGGATGGAACTAGAAGGCATTATGCTGAGTGAAATAAGTCAGGCAGAGAAGGACAGATATCATATGTTTTCACTCATATGTGGATCTTGAGAAACTTAACAGAAGCCCATGGGGGAAGGGGAGGAGAAAAATAGTTACAGAGAGGGAGGGAGGCAAACTGCAAGAGACTCTTAAATACAGAGAACAAACTGAGGGTAGATGGAGGTGTGGGGGAGAGGGGAAAGTGGTGATGGGACACTTGAAGAGGGCACTTGTTGGGATGAATACTGGGGGTTGTATGGAAGCCAATTTGACAATAAATTATATTAAAAAAAGAAAGTGTCCTTTGATGCAGTTTTTAATTTGGATATCATTCATTTAATCTATTTTTTCTTTGTCGTCTGTACTTTTAATACCATCCAAGAATTTACTGCCAAATCCAATGTCCATGAAGCTTCACCCTATATATTCCTCTAGTGATTTTATAATATTAGCTTTTTTTTGTTAGTCTTTGATCCCTTTTGAGTTAGCTTTGTATCTGATATCAGTTCGGTCCAACTGTGTTCTTTGCATGTGGACATGACGTTCTCTCAATACAATTTATTGAAAAGATTGAAAGAAAGGAAATATTAAACAAAAATAAGAAGGTCGGAAGTCAACACAAAGTGGGAGCAACATCTACACACGCACGTCTCCTCCCTCTGCCCAAAATGCATCGACTTTCAGATCTCAGCTCACACTTCACTTCTCTTAAACACGAATCTTCTCTGCGCCACAAGGGCGGGCTGTCATTGCTGTTATTTGTCCGGAGCATCTTGAACTCCTTCCACACACGCATCACACCTGTTCGCTCCTCCCACAGTGCCTGGCACATAGGAGCTATTAAAGTAATGACAGCTGAATGAATGGAAGAAGGGCGGGGCATGGAAGTCACAGAGTCGTGAAGAACATGGTCTTGGTGAGACCTGGATTCTGATCTGTGATTTGCCACTTGCCAGCTGTAAGACCCTGAGCAAGCTGCTTAACTGCTCTGGGTTCTGGTTTTCTCATCTTTACAACAATGGACATGACAGAGTAACCTATAGCCTGGAGTCATGGTGCCTAATAAATGACACGTGCTGGGAAAGTGCCCGGGTCAATGCCTAGCACATGGTGCACAGTCAACCACTTGCAGTCTCTATGTCTGTAATGGCCTCCCAGCTGGTGGTATGAAGCCACACTTTATACTAGACTGGCAGGAAGGCAGAGTTCCTGAAGGCTGGAACATGATGAATCTGGGGAATCTCTCAAAAGGGAGAAGTGGCATGCTCACTAATCACATGCAGAACAAATCGTCAGCTTATTCTATTACACCTGACATGGCACCCAGAGCTGGCAACAGGACCATGCGAGGGGAATACTCTCAGGTAGACTTAACATGGTAGCACCATGGCTCACGCTTATCAACAAGGTAGAGCATTACTTCCTAGAGACAGAAAGATTCTCCTCTATGGAAAGGTGTTCCCACCGTGATCAACTCAGCCAGGTGTGTTCCAAAACATGTGAATTCCACAATATGATTGGCCAAAAAACCAAGATCTGTGGTCCAAAAATTTGGGAAATGTGGCATCCTACATCTCTTCTTTTGGATACTTTCAAAGCATATTAGAAGGTTAAAGACTCTGATAAGTCCCACAATTTTAAAAAATGTGTTTAATTTTGCTAAAGTTGTTGTTACAAAGTTCTTTGACCGCGGACCCCTTTTATCAGTAACATCTAACAGTCCATAGAATTAATGCTCCACAGAGCTGGCTTTGGGAACTGCTTATTTGGACATTGTTTGCTGAGATGTTTTACTGTCTCATTGTTACAGTTCCCATATAAGAAAAAAAATGATGAGGACTGAATCTCATGGTTTAAAACTAATACTAAAAAGTATCAACAAAGATGAGCAATAATAATTATTCCTCTCCGTCTCATTCAGTTCCTTTCTCCTCACTCTTCACCCAGATGAGTTTCCTAGAATTAATTCTTGCCTCCCTCCTTATGTACCTAAAGTCACAATCTTATTCCATTAGACCGGTGGTTCTCAACCAGGGGTAATTTTTCCCTCCAGGGTAAATATCTGGAGACATTTTTCATTATCACATCTTGTGGCTGGCATTTAGTGGATAGAGGTGTGGGATGCCATTAAAGTTCCTATAATGCACAGGACAGAGCCCCATTGCCAAGAATTATGTGGCCTAAACTGTCAAGAGTACTGAGGCTGAGAAGCCCGGCCTTAGATTTATACTTACGGCCATGCCTTCATCAACACAGTAAATATTTAGTGAGTGTCTACTATGACCTGGTACAGAGATAAGAGCTCAGAAGACAGTAGAAGCCAAAAAACTCTCTTGTAATTTATAGTTAGGTGAAGGAAATGTGCGTTAACTAAAGGATCACAAAAATAATTGTAAAACTATAATGTTGACCAATGTTATAGACAATGCATCCTTGTATATGGTTTTTGTAGTCCTCATGCAATTATGAGAATGCCAGATGAAGACTACCTTGTTTAAAGTTATGGGAAGTCATCTCAAGCCTAAGTGTTTTCAGAGCACATTTCGACAAAGTCATCTTGTACAGTATGTCCCACCTGGTTTAATATTGTTGAATTCTTTCTCAATCGTCTCTTCAGAAGTAGAGAGCATCAGGTTCCTCACGTATAGGATTTTCACTGAAGACATTGTATCCTCATCAACTTCTACTTCTGGCTCTGCCCAGTCTACTGCGATAGGATGTCCCCATAACTGAATTCTGCCTGTTCAAACGGATCAAAAGTCTGATTAGTTACGTAGAAATTGGGACAACACCATCTCGGCACATGGAGATGGCCTTTTAACTTCAGCTGATGCTTGAGGTCTTGATTGAGCAAGAAGACTAATATTAAAAGAGGTTATTACTGATTTCAGGAAACATTCCAAATAAATGGAGGAGCAGGCTAGAAGGGAGTTCTGTGTGATAGAAGGTTTACTGTAATAATTGAGTATAAAGGGAACTAGGATGTGGTTTGAAATGGAACAGAAATGAGCAGCAATGGGCAGGTTTGGGTCTTTGAACAGCTCTCATGGGGAAAGTAAGTCTTTGAAAGTGAGCCGGCAGAAAGAGATAAAGGAAAAAATGGATTTAGGGCTTGGGCATAGAGTCTGACTTCAGGAAGAATTAGTCAGTCATTAGGGAATGTGTCTGCCACTTCTAGAATCTGGGTGACCAGGTGCCCCCACCAAGCAGTCTAAAACCTGGTGGTGTGTGGGCTCATACAGCCCTGGTTTGTTCTCTGTCCCTCACACTTGGTCAGGGCGCCCATCAACTGTGGTCACGCCTAGTTCTCTGGCAGCACATGGGCAACTTGGGAGTCTGCAGAAACATTCTTTATCCCGACTGAGAAGACAGAGAGCAACAGAAGGGTCTATGACGAGAAACCAAACTCTTGTTAAAGGGGTAGTTGTTACCCACGACTACGTATATTTTAGTGTTTCTGTAGTTGCAATATATTGTGTGTCTTGCACTATATAATGTGTTTTCCATATTCCACCTCAGTTCTAGCTCAAGTAACTCTGTGGGGAGGGGAGTGCCTTTCTCGATTTTATGGAAGAGGAAATGAGCTTTAGAGGGATGAGTAACTATCCCAGACCCACTTCATGTCTCCATGTCTCCTTTGTGTTTTGGGATTACCCAGTTCTGTACCCTACACAGGGCAGAGCCCAGCTGAAGTGATGGGGGTGATCAACTCAATTTCTAAAATTGATTGGAAATCTTGTGTTTTTTATTAATTGTTTTGGAACAAGCTATATCCTGCTTGAGAGAACACAATCAGCAATTCTCAGTGTTGGTAAGAGTTCAGTTGTTCAATTATTATTCCACATGGGAGGCAATTCTTTTCAATCAAAAGGCATCTTTTATTCTTTGGAAAGCAGTTAGTGAAACCATCTGTGGCACTGACTCCCTGAAACCTTAACAAAGAAGAGGCACGTTTTCATGAATTACCTAATCCCAGAGGGGCTGGGTCTGGTGGGACCCCAGTGGCGAGCTACCTGCACTGGATCCCGGGGAATAGTTTTCTTCATCACTCTCTTCCCTCTTCTTCCCTCTGCTCCCTTCTATCCCTTCCCCTTCCTTTTCCTTTCACTCGTTTTGCTTTGCTTTCCTTCCCTTTCTTTTCTATGCTTTACATAGACCTCACCGACTGTCTTAGGCCAAGATCTCAAGGTGCCTCTCAGTTAATTCAGCCAAAGTTGAAGACACTGTTCCTGGTCTTGGACCACAGTCTGCCTTCGGCTGGCCTGAAAATCTGCAGAAATCTGAAGTGGACAGAAGTGAGAGGAGGTGTGGTAAGCAGTGATCACAAATGTCCCCATTGAAGTTGGTGTTGCAGAGGGCTTTGGGAACATGGCCTCCAAAGCCAGACAAGTTCAAATATCAGATCACCATCCTGGCTAGGACACCACCTTTCTAACCATAAATCTCCTCATTTATAAAATTGGGATAATAAAAGTCACTACCCTGTGCTGTTGTGGGAACAAAAGATGATACATGTAAGGGACTTTTTGTTTGGTCTCTTTTCTTGTGTGTATAATTTCAGAACATGCACTCTTTGAGTGCAGTAGTTAGGTTTGATTTTGTTTTTTATAAAGAATTTCCTTTGGAAGGGAGCAATGCACATTGTATAGCCTTAGTAAATCCTGCCATGCTGAGTGGTCCCCACATGTACTTATTGACCTCCTATGCAGGTGATGGCCAGAATCCTTAGTTGAAGGATTTAGCAGTGGATCACAGAACTAGCTGCACTAAAAGGTCATCTGGAAAACTGAAAACACCAGTGCCCCAGAGAAGCAGATTCAGGTGAGGAGAGGTTGATTTGGTTTCTGGGATTGTTTAAAAACATCCTCAGGTTATTCAGATCTGTGGCCCATGATGGACAGTCATTGACTTAGATTGCTAGTTCTCAAGCTTTGTGCTCTCAGAGGCATAGCATCCTGGGGACTTGTTACAAAGGCAGATTAGCAGACACCACACCTGACCTTCTGACTCCAGAACTCTGGAGGCGGGACCTGGCTCGACACACTTTAACAAACTCTCCAGGTGGTCCCTGTGCAAGCTGACATTAGAACTTTCCTCAGACTGTCCTTAGAGAGCTCTGCTGGCCTCTGACACAACGTTGGACACAATGACTTTGTTGGACACACACCTCCACAAAGATGCAATGTCCGGAGAGAGCTGCCGCCGTCACCGGGAAGGTAGGTGACTGGGGAGCAATATATCGCATTCGACAACAATTTCCTCTCTGTCTCCAAGTCTGGATCAATGAAGAAGGAAAAGCTTCTTGTGGTCCTTGCTTATCACAGGGTAAAGATCTCATTCTTTCACACTAGGCCATCCAGAGAATCGCCAGTGACTGAAATCCTTTGTTGTTGTTGACTCTATGGTGAGGTAATAGGCAGAGTGTCCAAAGGGGCAGTAGACTTTCCTCAGAAGCCACAGCAGAAACGAATGGTTTGCTCTGACCGGCTTACCTATTGTCAGTCTGCTCATGAGGCCCTCAGACTAAAGAAACTCCACTCAGCTGAGGTCTACTCAAGGGAAGTGAGCAGGAGGGCTGCCTCGGATCCTGATGAAGATGCGTAGTGGAGGGTGAGGCTGAGGTAGCCTGGGGGTTGCTGGGTCTCACAGGCAGAATCCCTAAGGAAAAGTCAGGGTTTCAGGTGGAGACATAACAAGATGCCTGAGAATTCTTGAGGTGTGGCTGCCTGTTCCTGCTGGGGAGAGCTGGCCCAGCTCAGGTAGAGAGAAATGCTTTAGTGGGTCAATATGCTCTTTTCTTTGAGGACGGGAAGTTGAGGGGACGTTCCAGTTCTTTAGAGACACTGGTTGGCCCCTGAAAACTATCTTTCTCCCATTTTGGACCCTCTTTCACTGCTAGCCTCCCCAATCCTCTTGGGACAGACTGGTACCATTCAGTCTATCGATGCATAGAAATCAGATTCCTACTATTTGCAAGAATTGTAGAAAGGATGGCATGATATTTTAGGAACAGTGATCTGATAGTAATGTTCAGGATGGAGTAGGCAGATGTTGGGGGTATGTCCAAAAAAGCAGAGCAGGAAGAATAATCTGGAGTTTTGAAAACAGCCTCTGTTCAGGGAACATATGTTTTGAGACTCCAAGGGTAGTCTGAGGTCAGGATGGATACCATCAACTTTTTCGTGGCAGAACTGTTGAAGAGAGAAGAGGTGAAGATGACACCAAAGATGAAGATCAGGTCACCCAAAGGCTAAGTAAGGACACCTCATGAGGAGGGTCTGTGATTCTCTGTGCCTGGGCAGCATAGGTCTGGCCATTGGGTGGTGACAGAGTAATGAAAGGAAGAATTGATGTTAAAAATGCCTACCGCTCTAATGGACTCAGCAAATTTGTGGGCTATTTCCTATCTTTTCACTTATAAGCTGCCTTCATGAAAATATTAATAAAACTCTTCTGCAAGATCAGAAGCTATCTTCCAATTTTGAAAACTTCTAGATGGTGAATGCTCTTATGGAGCTAACACTTGTGTATGTTCTGAAGTAGAGTTGATACACATATTACATTCGTGCCAGGGGCACAATGGAAAGATTGGAAAACTCTGTGTTGTGCTGTGCTTACCACAAGTGTCACTACCACCACATCATATGACACCATTACTATACCATTGGCTACATTCCCTACTCCGTACTTTCTATCCCCATGACTTAATCATGGCTTATTCGTAAGAATGTGTAGATGGTCAATATAAATTCTAGGTGGTGGTTGTTTTTTCTTTAATTCTCCTGACTCTTCCATGATGTTTGAGAGAAGAGTTCATCCCAACATGTCCACTCTGTCATTCTTGAAATCCTCTTACCATTTTAATATTGGTTCCTCTTCATACTTTGTGTAAATTTTGGTGACTATTTGAGAATGAGCAGAGGACTTTCAACAATTTTCCCCGAGCAGATCTGACTGAGGCAGGGCCTTGTTGGAGTCTTTAAATCTCAGGACTTGGTGGTGGTTGTCCGAACGGGACCCACCCTGTGGTTGTAGCACCTACCAGGTGCCTTTCTGTGGAGGGCTAGTATTTCTATTCCCTCCCCCAAATTAGAAAATATTAGACACTGAGGAGTCACGATCTGAGTTCATGTCACTTAGTTGTCATCAGGATAAAGTGTCGCTTGCAGGTTTATTCTACATTGTAAGGGACCATTTCCTCCACTTCTAGTAAGCCTGACAGCAACATCTGTATAGATAAATAATGTATATATTCACTTTCGAGAAGATTCCTCACCTTAACGCCTCATTACAGGGTTACTGCAGCTTATAGCTCTGGACGTCCCCAGGGCACGTACATTAGACTAAGGGCATGTTTTCCAGAACCCATTCTGTGAAAACTTCAGGTAGGTGAATCTACCATAACATGGATAAGAAGGGGAAGAAGTTGGGATAGCCTAGAAGCAAAGCTCCAGGGCAAGCAGACCACAGGCAGCAGGTGTCTCCTCTGCACCCAGCAGCCTGTGGCAGAGCGGGGGAAACTTCTCTTTGGGGAGGAGGTGCCCACCTGGCAGCAGCTTCCTTCGGGCCATGGCAGCTGTCCGGTGACTCTCATACTCCACGAAGGCAAAGCCTCGGTTTCTGGTTTTGTCTGCGGCGCTCGGGTAGACGATGACGTCGACGACTCCCTCGGTGACCTTCTTCATCTCTGCTAGGATCTCTTCACGCTTTTTGGTCTTGGGGATCCCCCCAACAAACAGCCTGCAGTTGTCCACACTGGTGCACACCCCTAAGAGACGTCCATTTCTGGGAAAAAAAAAAAAAAGGCAGGTATTCTGCTTGGCAATAATCCTGTGTGATTGAGGTTTAAGAAGTTGAACACCTATGACCGTGGACCTGATATGGCCTGGAGTTGTGGCATGTTTGGTCTTCATAGTGTTTTCTCACCACCCAGGATAATCCCTGGTACTGGGGCCGCTGCACCTTGGCCCACATTGCTCCCATGGCTCCCAGCCTGCCTGGCCCAGGACTGTCATGAACTTGCACACCTGGCTGCTCCCCAGCCAAACAGGAAAGGTATTCTGACATGTCTAAGAAATTTTTACATAGCATCTTAATTTGGCCTACACTAAACCTGTGATATGCGCCGAGCAGGTGCGGGTTCCATTTTCCAGATGAAAACCTTGAGGCTCCAACAAATTAACTGACTTGCTTAAGATTTTAGAGATTTTAAGGGACTCTCTCTTCAGTTCCTGTTTCTTCTGTACATTGTTGCTGATTAGCAAGTTAATGTTTTTTTCCATTAGGAGAGGAAAGATGAAGTTTTTCTGGGGGGACATTTGGGGAAAGGTATCAGAAATCTTTTGTATATGAGTTTTGGGCACATAGTGCCCCTTCTGGGAAAGCATCTTTATGGAGTTGAATACCAACATTTTTGTATAAGGATATTTACTGCTACTATTTAAAATAGCCCCCAGATTGGAAATAATCAAAATATCCCAGCAACCAGGACTGGCGTAATGCATCTTGGCTGAGATGATACTGACTCTGAGGCTGGACATTTATTTCCTCCTTGTGCACCGTAGCAGGTTTGTCATCCTCACTAAATGCTAAGAGCCTCCTGTTAGGTCCTCTAAAAATGCCTCTCCATCTTTCTAAATGTCCCCTTGGGTGAACGCTACTGCTCCTGGCTGAGAATCCCTGGTGAACAATAGACGGGCATTTATAGCCTAGAATGCTCCGTAGTCATTAAACATAGTAACATAGAGGAATATTTATTGATTTAAAAAAGCTCACAAGATGCAAAATACATAGAAGACTGTTTTGATGGACACGGTACCGAAAATCTCGGAAGACCCTAAAAAGCCAACATAGTGATTATCTTGGTCAATGGGGTTATGGAGGAATGGTTTGAACATTAACCCCTTTTGTCTGTTTGATTTTGCTACTTGCTGTGTATTAGGCTGTGTGACTTTTCTAATAACAAAAAGTTCTTAAAAACTGGGTCCAATTCCTTTAACAGAAATGACTTGTGCGTCATGAATAAAGGCGGTCCGCGGGGTGGAATGGGACATTGCTCTGGTTTCTTGGAACTGGTGACACTGAGTCGCATGACAGGTCCTCTCACAGGGGTGAGGTTCCTGCCCTGCTGTCCCCCATGCTCTGCTGAAAAACTGAAGACCCAGTATTAGATCTGTGATGGGTCCGTGACAGTCTGGCGGACATTGCCCCAGGAATGTGGTCTTTCCCCGGGGGGAGGGATGGGTGGATAAAGTAATCTTTCAGGATTTTTGTTTTTGTTTTGCTTTCTTCCCTAAATCTCCCCCCCCCCCCAAGGTACTCTACATAGAAAACCTGACAGACTCCACCAGAAGCCTACTAGAACTGATCCAAGAATTCAGCCAAGTTGCAGGGTACAAAATCAACGTACAGAAGTCAGTTGCATTTTTATACCCAATAATGAAGCAACAGAAAGAGAAATCAAGAAACTGATCCCATTCACAATTGCACAAAAAACCATAAAATACCTAGGAATAAACCTAACCAAGGATACAAGAAATCTGTATGATCCAAGGTATTATTTAAAATTTTTTTAAAGATTTATTTCTGAGAGAGAGAGTGTGTGAGCAGGGGAGGGTCTGAGAGAGAGGGAGACACAGAATCTGAAACAGGCTCCAGGCTCTGAGCTAGCTGTCAACACAGAGCCCGACATGGGGCTCGAACCCATGAACCATGAGATCATGACCTGAACCGAAGTCAGACCCTCAACCGACTGAGCCACCCAGGTGCCCCATGGTATTATTTCTTTAGGAATTCTGTTCTTTTTGAGGGAGGGCCAGTGAGGTATGAGTTACCAGCAGGTGGAGCCTGGAGGCTCTGTGTCCTATTTTTAAATCTGTGAGGTTTGTCAGCCACTTTCCCGGAACCGCTTGGCGATGAAAAGCCATCTTTCACAAGCTGAGGGCATGACTTTAATGTCTCTAGAAGCCAGGCATTTAGACAAATCTCAGTGAATATTTAATGAGGAGGAGGATGATATGACAATTACGGGTCTTTTCCGGATAAAGAACCTTATCTCTCCCCTGAGAAATGGTGGCTAAAAGCCAATCGAAGTTTATCCTTCTTGTCTGCAAGAGGGGATGGATCCTTTCTCTGGCAGGACTGATAGAAGGCAGTGTGGAAGTAGGTGAGGACGGCACTAGGGTATCCATTCTTCCACTTAATAGTCTATTTATCCTACACCATGATTTTTAAAGTACCTCTGTGCCTTCCTCTTGCTTCTGGCATCCAACCTGAACTTTGACTGGAATGTGGCCGCCAGCTTTCTCTTTCCAAATGCTTTGTAATATTTCTCCTCCTCCCTCTCCTCCTCCTCCACTTCCTCCTCCTCCTCTTCCTCCTCCTCTGTAATCATCAGCAAACATTCGTAGAGCATGTGATCTGTGGCAGACACTGAGCTGCGCTGCATGATCTATGTATTTTTCATAATGCCCCCATGAGGGAAGTACATTTTTACCTCTTTTAAAGATGAAGACCCTGAAATTCACAGAGAATACTGTTATGTATCAGGGACTGTAATGGATTGATTGTGTTCATTATTCATACCCTCTCTATCTTAAGGCACTGACAGGCCCCAGCGTGTAACGAAGTGTTGAGTAGCTGTAGCAAACCATGCCGATTCCCTACATAGCCACGTCTACATCCCCCTCAACTTCAAAGCCATTTTGAGAAGAGCCCTTGCTCTTAAGAGTAAGCAATGAGGATTCTTTGGTCCCTGAATCCCTGTAACTGTAATATTTAAAAGATATTAAAATAGAGCTTTCTGTAGCCCTTTCCAAAAACAGGTCAGTGTGCATTATCTCCTATGACAGATGCTGAGAGCCTGTGAGTAATTATGTGCTGATGGTAAAACTGTTGGTGAACGAGGTCCCAGGATTTCTCCAAAGGCCCCTGTGCTCTGATCACCCAGCTTCCACACCAGAAAATCCTCCACATACCAGACAGAGCACTTTTGGATCCGTGGAGGCCTGTGTGGAACTTCCTTTATACTTTCCTCCAAACCCCTGTCATAGGCTCTGACCTTGGGACCCAGTGGCTAGGCTGCTGGGGTTGCCAATCCAGTCAATCTTTTTGTGGTTAAAAAGTTTTAAGAAAAATGACCCAGTGATTGATTGATTTGCAGAATTATACAGATAACACATGTCTTATTTGGGGTGTATAGGAAGACAGTGAGACGAAAGATAATTATAGCAAATCTACTCTCTATTCACATTTAGGATGACCATAGTTTTCAGAGGCAGAAAGGAAATACATGAAAACTACGTCTTGGAATTGATGGATGTGCTACTATGTAAGAGTTCTATCATTTTTTGACCTATTGCTGTGTTCCACCCACTGGGGTAAACATTTAAAAATCTTTCTAGTATCCCCACGATAACACCTGTGAAATGAGGGCTCGTATCATCACATTAGAGATGAGGACGTTGAGGCTCAGAGATTATGTCACTCACTGACACTCAAGCGAAGCCTGTCTGATCCCAAAGCTATTGCTTTTCAACTGTTCCACTAATCTTTCTTCCAGGTGGCCCAGGACTTCCTTTAAGAGAGGATTTAGGACAGTTCCCTCTCTATGTGAAGGTTTAAGAACTCTACTGCATGATGCCAGCCCTCTTCCCAGTGATAAAAGCCAGTTATTGATTGCACAGGGCCAATTATGCCCTGGAAACTTCCACTGGCCCCACGACTTGCAACATTACCTGTGTCTGGCTGGCTCTGTGACCTCTCTCCTGACTCTGATATCATACAGATGGTCACCTCCTCAGCTGCTCCCTGGGGTATCTTGTGGTAATGTCAGGTGTAAATTCTCCCACATTTCCAGTCGGCTACCCTTCAGGCCTTTCCCATCTCAGTGACTCTGTCTCATCCACAGATACGTTCTTCCCTGACCTCTAACATTGCTCATACTCTAAATCCAATATTTAGTCAGTCTTGTCTGTCCAACCTCCAGAATGTTTAGCTCCCCGTCTCCCAACCCCAGCAACATCACTTTGCTCTTTGTATTGGTAGGTCTGGTCCGGCCTTTTGTTTGTTACATTTGCTTTTTTTTTTTTTTTAATTTTTTTTTTTAAATTTATTATTTCTAGGAGAGAGAGAGAGAGACAGCGTGAGCAGGGGAGGGTCAGAGAGAGAGGGAGTCACAGACTGAAACAGGCTCCAGGCTCCGAGCTGGCAGTCAGCACAGAGCCCGATGCGGGGCTCGAACCCACGAACCGCGAGATCATGACCTAAGTGAAAGTCGGACGCTTAACCGACTAAGCCACCCAGGCGCCCCACATTTGCTTTTTTTGAGTCCACATATGACTGTCCTACTCTCTCTCTCTTTTTTTTAATGTTTATTTAGTTCTGAGAGAGAGAGAGAGAGAGAAAGAGAGAGGCAGCATGAGTAGGGGACGGTCAGAGAGAGAGGGAGATACAGAATCGAAGCAGGCTCCAGGCTCTGAGCTGTCAGCACAGAGCCTGATGCAGGGCTGGAACCCACGAACTGCGAGATCATGACCTGGGCTGAAGTTGGATGCTTAACCAACTGAGCCCCCCTGGTGCCCCATGACTGTCCTACTCTTAATATTCTGGATCCATTTGTTTGCTGTGAGGATAGGGAAAGGTATCTTGATATTTCCAACATTTTGAACAGTGCCCAGCACATATTTATACAAATGCATTAGCTGCTTCATTTTTAATTGGAAGGGGTGGATCTTACCTAATTTCATAGTTGTTAAGTTGCTTGATTGCATCCTTGGCTTCTTGTCTGTTTGAGAAAGTTACAAATGCATACCCTCTATTGTTGCCATTAAAATCCATCATCATTCTCATTTCATAAATTTTACCAATCTACATAGGAAAGGAGAGAGAAAGAGAGTTCATGTTTGTATATTTGTACTTCCAAATGAAAACACGCTCGCACCACGTTTTCTGAGGTCTTACCTCTGCCATGTGTGACGTTTGCGTATTTTCACACTGGGTTCAGATCTGCTATCTGACTCATGGACAAAGTCAATTTAAATCAAGAAAACGTGTACACATGGCATTTTAGCCTGACTTAACAAAATGTTTTCAACAGAGTAAATGTCTTTCACCACTCAGTTATCTGTGGATTTATTCCCCATCCTAGGGACCATAAACTCATTTGTCCTCAGAAGTACAATGTCTCTATAGATTTGCCCTTGCCCTCCACACTGGCCTCTGAATTTCCATAGTTTTGCCTTTACTTGGTCATACTCCACTACTGAGGTTTAACACAAAAGCCCAGACACTCATTTGGAACCTTGCTGAACTGATTTCTTAGCTGTCTTTCTCCTACCAAGATCTCAAGATGTACAGAGAAGATGTGACTTAGAGGATGATCTGGGGATCCCTGTTGCTATTTTGATCTGTAGGCTGAAGGCAGGTGCTAGTCTTACATGACTGGACCAATGTCAGGACCTTCACGTTAGAAGGACACTCACCCCACCCCTCTGGCCCCAGCTCTTTTGTTTTGCCTATAAACTACTCTTTCCTGCTACCACAAATGCTCTTCAGCTAGCCAGGCTCAGTACTTTATCATTGCTGGCCGCTCTATGATGAGCGACCCTAGCAGATAGGCCAGGCATATACAGGGAGAAGAGGTGTCATTCAACATGTGCTCTTTACCTTGGTGGTTGGTTACCCCTCGGCACAGCCTCCCCACTCCATGATATTAAACGGTGGACACCTATCTATCGTGAGCTTGTTAGGAGAGTTCAAGCATGTTCCATCTGATTCAGGTGTATCTTGGAGCTCATTTTCAGGTTCAGCATCTAAGATTCTTACAGGATTAAATCCTCATAATTTGTGCACTGCCAAGTGAGATTGTTTGTATAAAATTAGGAATAGCTCTGAAATGGGGACTGACTGATACACACAAGTGATTTGGGCATTTAGAGAAAGAAATAGCTAGACTCCAGTCTTTCTAAATTTTCTAGGAATGGGGTTGTTGAAATGCCATTGGGGAAAATAATAAAAATAAAATTTAATTTTGTGTCCTCCCTGTAAGGTTGGGCATAGTAACAACATATCACTTGGAATTAAAACTGAGGAAATGTATTCCTCAATGATATAATGACTTTGAGAACCACATTATTAATTTTGTTGATGCATTAGGGCAAATGAATTCAAACCTGTGGAAGGAAATTTCATTCGGAATCATCATGTATAGACACACATTTGGGCCATGACAAGGGCACACATTCCCTAAATGAAAATGGTACACTTTTTAAAACCATATCAAAATGTCAACTTGGAGGAGTATCTTATTTTGGAAGGTCACCGCAGTATTATTATAGACTAATAGCATCTTGCGAACTCCATATTATCTGTGTCACTGAAGATCAAAGGTCAGAATTTGAAAGTTAGCGGAAGCAATAGTTCAAGCTGCAGGTCACAGGAAGAGCTACATCAAGTCAGTGACAAGGGCACCACCACTAACAGAGAGGTTTTAACTTTGTCCATGTTGAGGAATGCAATTGGAAGAGACCACATCACTTACCAAGAATGAGTGTGAAAGTGTGGAGTATTTTCCCCTTAAAAGATAAAAAAAATTATTTATTTGGACTCACTTTTTCACATAATGGTATAAGTTCATCCTCAAAAAGGTCTCGGGGAAGTTTCCCAATAAAAATTTCACAGCCCCTTTCTGGGGGTGCGGCATCCCAGCCAGGTGGAGGTCCGCCATATTTTCTTTGTCCGTTTTCCTGCACATCCAGGGTGGATTGGATGAGGGAGAGAAGAAAACAATAAGACCTTTAGGTTGAGTGCCTCCGTTATTTTCAAAATCATGGTAAGGAACATATTTATCATTGACAAATAATTGTGAGCTGGTCAGGGGCGCCTGGATGGCTCAGTCAGATAAGCGTTCAACTTGAGCTCAGGTCATGGTCTCGAGGTTTGTGAGTTTGAGCCCTGAGTCAGGTCCTGTGCTGACAGCTCAGAGCCTGGGGCCTGCTTCAGATTATGTCTCCCTCTCCTCTCTGCCCCTCCCCTGCTCATGCTCTGTCTTTCTCTGTCTGTCAATAATGAATAAATGTTAATGTTTTTTAAATAGCTGGTAAGAGCAGAAAATCAAGGTCTTTTATGTTGATTTTAATACCATACTCTGTGCTTCAGCAACTTGCTTGCATTAAACATCATGAAAACATGTCCAGTGCTGGACAAACATTATTGTCATTCACACCCATCAGTGCCTGACCATCAGAGGATTGGACTATAATTTGAATCCAGGGCTCTGCTATAACATGGAGCCTGTGGTGTGGTGGTAAGGGTTCTGGAGCTGGGCTGCCTGGCCCCGTGACTCACTAGCTATGGGGCTTTGGGAAAATGGCTTAACTTCCTGGAACCTCAGTTTTCTCATCTACAAAGTGGGGATTAATATTGGTTGTTGGATTAAAGGAGATAATACATCAAATATGCATGGTACTGTTCTCGGCATTTGATAGATAGCCAATAGTTATTAATTCTCTTCTCATGTCCCTGGATTTGGGAGTCCTTGTGAGACCCTAAATAGAAACATTATGAAGATTAACATTTGAAGGTGTGGACTGGCTAATTTTGTGAGGAACTTAAATCTGTTTTCAAAGCTGACAAGATAGTGAGAGGTTTGCTCGGTTGGATCTCTTTGTGGGGAACAGTGCTGTTCTCAGTCCAAATAGAATTAGTTTCATCATCATCATTGTCATCTTTTTTTTTTTCTTTTTTTTGGCTTTTTCTTAACCAACCCGTGGTAAAACCAACCAACCCTTGGCCCTTTATGAGAAGGAGTAATTCTGGTTCTTTCCTTTACTAGACATTAGTAGACATTAAATATTGTCTACTAGACATTATTTATTAGACATTAAATATTAAAGATAGCATTACTGTCTTTATTTTTCCAGAGGTTAAAGACCCAAAAGAAACTTCAGGGGCCCCACCACCGTTGACCTGGAATACTGCATTTGCTGGGGGGTGTGGGGGGGTCCTCTTACTTCCAACCTAGGCAAAGCCAGAGCTCTTTGTCTTTACACTTTATTATTTTTGGAGAAAAGTGAATATAGGGGACCAAATGTCAGTATTCATTGCTAACTTCTACAAGTATTACTTTAAGAAGTTTTAAACTATAAGAAGTTTTAAACTATAAGATGATATATATTGTTGGGAAAAACCAGTAATGTAGAAGGGGAAAAACACGGTAAATATACAAAGTAAAAAGAAACATTTCCCAGTAGTCACCCAACCAATCTATAGAGGTAGTTAGTGTTAAGTTTGCTTTTCCAAACATTTTTCTATGCATATTCTTAAACATTATATGTTACTTGTTTAAAGACTTTGTTTTACATGATTGTTTAAGATCAGAAGTAAAGCAGCAGGTGGTGTCACTGTTAAATCTTTCTATATCCCAACTTGAGACTTCTGCAATTATTTGATAAATACCAGCACAAAGGCTTTGGGATCATAGCATAAATTAAGTCTCTGGTTGTGATCACTTTTTTATTCCCAGTTTATATCATGTTGCTTCACATTAAACAAGGGGCATCAGCTGTGTGTTCTACCTTGCCTTGATTATTTTAGGCTTCTAACAACTGGGTGTTTATTTTACTAAGTATTTAAATATTTGTCTTGAGTTCTTGTACTTTTTTCCTTCCCCTATATTCTTGCAGGATCACCTAACGGCAAAATGTTTACATCACTGAGAAATGAAATGTTTCATATTTATAGGGTGGAAAATTCCTCAAGAATTCAATGAGCTGTATCTTAACCAAGAATTTTCTAAAAAATATGGCATTGATCTTTTCAGATATATATTAAACATTTCTATTGATTTGTTTTCTAACAGAAACCTATATGGCACTTGCTACACACCAGACTCTGTCGTAACCCTTAAGGAATGTCACAGGTTCAGGACTATTGCTCTCCTCATTTTACGGACAACACTGAAAGCCCAAGAAGATTAAGTAATTTTCTGAGGTCATATGGTTGGGAAGAGGCAAAGCCAGGATTCAAACCCAGGCATTCTGGTTTCAGAGACCATCAGCTGAATCCCCACATTTTGCCTTGTTCTATGGAAGGCTCATCATTTATAACAGACTTATATGTTTAAGGACTTATTTGAGGAAAAAAAATTAGCATGCCATTAAATTGTAAGCTCTCTGCTGCATTTAAAATCCTTTCCAGTTTGCAATCATATTATTATACAAGTTTTGGAAGGACAGATCTGATATGTGTTGCCTATATGGAAAGATATTTCTATCGCCAAAGTAAAATCCACCTCCTTGGTCTGACCCTCACCATTTAGTTGATGATGAGCTCTTGGAGGTAATTTCTGTGTATATTAAATGTCTAGAGCTCTAGTCAATGGGTTATTGGAATACACTTAGCATACATTTAGTAACATTTTTATTCTTCAGGTTGAAGAAAACAAGCTTTCATCCCATAATACTAAAGTAGCTATTCCAGAATGTCTGATTTGACAAGCTTTGTCTGATAGTTTGAAAATAAATAGGCAACCAACAGATTAATCTTTAAAATTTTCCCTTCAACTTTCTTTCTTGCTATACTTGCTAAAAATATCACTGAACTATTTCGTGCATAGGAGGCTTCATCTGCTTATGAGCCAAAATGACTGGACAGGAAAGCTCATTAACTATCTTTCTATGGTTTCTAAAAACACTTGAAAAAAAATTCCCTAAGGATATTTTTTGGGGACCATGGAGTCTGGCTGGTTCAGAGATACCTCTAAGTTTACGCCTGGGGGAGATCTGCTCTACCCACCGCCCACCATGCTTGGAATGCACCGGGCTGGGAGTCCAGGCCAATTTAAGACCATGCTGGGCGTTAGTCATGGGTTAGAATAGCTGTCCATTACTCAGGAAGGACAGTGGGAGCTGTGTTGTCAGTATTTTTGGCACTGTTTTTATAGTTAAAGAGTTTAAAATAGATAAAGCCTGGTTACAATGGCTCTTTCCCCTACTGGCTGATGTCCTTCTCAGGGGACACGTTCACTCAGCAGCACAAATGTATTAATAGTTCAGAGAGAAAGAATATAGGTTTTTGTTTTTCATGAGAGAACATTCATTACACTCTGGGAAACTTTATTTTTCTAATGGAAGATCTGCAAACCACTTACTCTCTCTCATAGCACGTACATAGATAGAAACCTTCAACTAGGTAAATGAAAACTTGAAGACCCAATTCTAACTATAAATCTAGTGGGTTTAATTCACATATTGGATGCTGAGCTGACCTAGTAAGTCAATTTATGTATCAAGAGTATTTGAAAGTTCCTCTGTCACAGATTTTAAATCTTTCATTACAGAAGCATAGAGTCTTTAAGAAATGATGTATATCATCTTCTTGAATAAAACTACCCAGACTTTCATAAATGATTATAAGCAATGACTCTTTGCATGAGGTCAAATGGAGTGAGTTCACTTTGGCCACTGGGCATCTACTTTTTTTGTACATCTGGGGAATCAACACAATTTTATTTTCCTGCAAGAGCTAAGAAAGGCCAGATGACTTGCCATTCCAGATGCTTTTGCAGCTGGAACCGTCATAGTTACCATAAAGTAAACTTGACTTCTGGTGTAGAAATCACACTGGTGCAGACTTGCAGTGTTGAGTACACATGATGCATTTTTTTTTTTGCTTTGTTTTGTATTATTTCTGAGAGAGAGAGAGAGAGCATGAGCAGGGGAGGGTCAGAGAGAGAGGGAGACACAGAATCTGAAGCAGGCTCCAGGCTGAGTTAGCTGTCAGCAAAGAGCCCAACGCGGGGCTCAAACCCACAAACTGTGAGATCATGACCTGAGCTGAAGTCGGACGCTCAACCGACTGAGCCACCCAGGCACCCCCCATGATGCATTTTCTTATTATTCTAGATTCGTGATGTGGTTTCCTGAAACCTTACTTCCTAAAAACCTTAAAACCCTCCCTGAAAGCTTACTTTTAAATCTAGTTCTCCAAATTCAAGGTTTATATAAACAAACAATCTTTTAATAAATCCCGTTTCTGCATAATCAGCCAGAGCTGAGTTCTGTTACTTACACATAATAGTAACAGAGCCCCTCCCCCCGATCCCACAACATTTAACCCTAATTAAGGCGGGCACTGTGCTAAGTATGGGCTTTCCATGTATTAACTCATTTAATCTCCTCAACAAACACATCAGGATGATAGTATTCATTTTATAGATGAAAAATCCAGAGCACAGACTGTGTCCTGAGTCCCTCAAGCCGTAAGTGACAAAGACAAAATTTGAATCCTAAGCCCTGTGCTTGTAATAATGTTTTTCTTTGGTTTTTGTATCAACCCAACTTGCTCATTTCACAGATGAGGAAATTGAGACTGGAGCTATTAGGGGACTCACCTAAAGTCACACTGGTTTAATTTATAGCACAAAACACTACTCTGAGGGTCCAGTGATTCTCAGTCTGGTGAATTTCATGGCATACATACTGTTAAAAGTCATGAAAGCATTTTTCTCATAATTCTTCATGTTGCACTCTGCCGACTGTTTACGTTCAGTTTCACCAGACCCAGAGGCCACATGGTTTATTGTCCCCTCTCAGCCCATTTATAACCTGGAAGGAGATTAATTAATAAACCCTCCTATGGCATTTTTAAAAAATTTCCTGAACAGTAATTTCAATTTCTTGAACGATTCTTTGGAAATTATCTGTAATCCTCATTGAGGCTCTCTCTGGTCCTTTGTTTTTTTTTT